TCTGAACCTACTCAATTTTATAAGAATTATCATATTTTTATTATATTTTTTTGAGCACCTTTCCGGTACGCGCTTTTCATAGCCAGTATCAGTTTCTGGCACCAGTTCTTATTATTTTGACTTGAAACTCGTTTTACAAGTCCTACATATCATTCTAGTAATTATCATGCACTTATTATAATTTTTCGGGAAACTTTTTCGGTACGCATTTATACTGACTAGCAGAACCGGTATCTGCACTTTTCGTCCGAAAAGCGATTTTCAGCATTCTTAATCACTTACTATAATTATTAGAGCCTCATAATAATTATTAGGGTCCATTATGAAATCATTTCCTAATTTTGCATAATTAATTAATTAAATACCTAATTTAACGGTGCGGGTTCTTACACTCAAGACTTAGCACCTTTTGGCTTTGTCCCAGTTTCTTTGCCTGCCAACTCTGATTCCTCAGCTCATGGTCTAGATGGCTCACAAATTTCCATATTCCTATTGCTCCCTTGACTCCAACAGGTATTTAGTTCAGAACCTTAAAATGGACGAGTTGGCCCCTTATTCCTAAGGTGACCAGTAGCGTTTTTGCCATGACATCTACCTTCCCCCAATGGCTAAGCTGTCTGAAATCCCTTTCTTATGGAAGTTCCTTTCTCAGTATGTACCCAATTTCCATTGGCGCACAAAGAATATAGCTTACTTAGCCAAAGAAATACAAAAAGCTTCGGTCAAGAGTTTTGAAAACAGTTCTTTAAGAGTTTCACAGTTTACCCGTTCCACAGATAGTTCAGCTCATGGCTGATAGTTTAAATATAATTATTCTCAACTGAGATCACATAGACCCGAGATTCAGTCAAGAGATAACGATTGGAACGAAGAGAAAAACACTTATATTAATTTAAAAGACAGTTTACAAAAATAAACAGAAAATGGAGAAAGATGGGTATTTGCTCGTGAGGAGTCTTGATGGTTGTTTACAGAGAAGGGAAGAGGGGTTGTCACTTAACTACAGTTACAACTGAAAATTAAACTAAGTTACTAACTACTCCTAAGTGATCTCTTCCTTTCGGACTGCAAACCCTCCAGGATTCGATGATGTTTTTGTGTGAGGGAGGTCCTATTTATAGCTGGAAGAGGAATGGTAAGACTGTAATTCCCTTGGAGCTAGTTGCTTGAATGAGGGGACGAGACAGTGGCAGCAGAGTGTGAAGCTTGCGTGAATTGCTGAATGGAACAGGGTTTGGTGATGATTAGTCGTTGTTTGCAGGCCTTCCCATGCTTTGCTTCTGTTTTCATCCAATGAAAACTCTTGATTCCCTGCTCTTCACGTTTCCAGCTGCTCAGTTGGTGCACCGCCTTGCTTTTTAGAAGTCTTTAACTCTACGTTACCTGCAAAGTGTACAAAAGCATTAAATGAATAGAGCAGGTGCATTAAATACGTCTCAGTTCGTTCCCCTTTTAATATATTTTAAAGGAATACGTTACCATCCGTTCCCCCACTGTGTTTTTGTCACAAATGTGTAAAACAAGTTATTTTCATGCTGAAGTTGCTCATCAGATGAGGGAACGTATGGTATTTTGCCATCAAAATGGGCTTAGATGGGAACGAATTTACGTCCCATCAAACACCCCAAAACTAAACTGTTGGTTGTCCTCAAACAACTCAGAAATATTGTATTGGTCTGCCCAATTTAAAAGAATAGCATAACAGAAAGGAACTTGAGCCAGTGAGCAACCATGAACTTTTCAGAAAATGAACTACTCTCCACAGTAAACAGTAAGAGGATTATGTCCCCAGATAAGATAAGGTTGCTGATCTTTTGTCTCACTGTCACTCATGGGTTGGTGTTTGCTCTGTCCATTCCTGGATGTGATTCTTCAGAACTTGCCTTTCTGCTGCGTTCCTATAAAGTACAGTTGTCTTCCGTTCCAAGGATTCTTTGTTGGGTAAGTGTATGGAAATGTTGAAGAAGTGGTGGCCTGATTTGTGGGATCAAGGAACAATTAGCTTTTGTGCCTTTGAACTTGGACTTTTTCTGTTTTGAGGGAACACCTTTTCTTGAACCTTTTTCCCCCTTTGGAGGAAGGTTTTCTGGTTTTTCTTGAATTCTTTTGAATGACTATTCCCCTTTTTCTTTGTTTTTCTTCTGTCCCTTTTTTTTTCATTGTTGAGTATGTTCCTTGTTCTTTCTGATTGACCAGATGGTGTATAATGGAGGTGAGGTGAGTGTGTGATTCTGTTTTGATCCTTGACAGCAGAATTCATCTGTCTTCAGCAGTACTTACAGCATTAAGGCAAGCTGAGAAGTTTCATTGTGGTTACACCTCAGGAACGCTCTCAGAAGTAGGTGTTTGGCATTTTTCCGTTCCTTACCAGTTTGAGTTCACACAGATCAGCTTCTTTCAAAAATCTGAGGATTAAATTCCCTACACTGTTTCTATTTTCAAGTACTCAGAGAAAGAACAAGCATGATTAGTCAGTGACTTTGTGTTTCATGTATGTTAGTTAATCCAAAAGAATTGGGCAGTCTTAAAACTATAACTGAAATGCATGCATATACCAAACAGTTTGATAAAAAAAAGGTCTTTTCTATTTCAAAAAGATTAATTACAAGGGAACGGAAAGAAACTAAATTAAAAACAGAATTGAAAACAAACTAAGCTAAGATATTATATATATATATATATATGGGGAAATCATTTCTACAGCTGCTGTAGATAAGCTTCTCTACAGCTAAGTAAAACTACGTCATTTTGGTCTTTTAAAAAACACTTTGTCTTCTAATATTAAACGTCTTCAACAGCAGTCCCGTTCCCAAACTCGTCGCTGTCGAGCAGCAGAGGGCTTCTTCTCCTTTCTGTCTTCTTTCCGTCGGTGGTTGCTCTTCCCCCAAATGGAGTGATTAGACAAGAAATGGGATGAAAGGGTTTTAATAGGTAAGGTAAGAGAGTTTTAGGAGCTTGGCTCGAGCAAATGCAACTGGACCAGCTTGTAGTCTAATCCCTCTTCTCCTTTGCAACTTGCGTTCTTCTCCTTCGTCGGTGGTTTTCCTTCATCGCCAGTAGCCCTTCCCCTCTTCCTTTTTGGGCGTTCACTCTCCCTCCACCATTTTCTGGTGCCCTAAATTTATTTCTTCAGTGCCCTAAATTTATTTTTAGGTGTTGGCAACTCCCCTCCCACCCCTTTCTGAAAAATCTATAGACTCTGTTGCGTGCAATTTAGAGATAATTCTTGTTTCTGAATAATTTTTGTGCAAATTGGTGGATTTATTTCTTCTACATTCCTGTATTGGCTTATTGCACTACTAGAATTATGTCAATAATAAAATGTTATTACTGTTTAAATTATTAACAGGAAGCAATACCAGCAAAGTTTTTCATTATATAATTATCTAATGGATTCTTCTCTGTTCTGGAATTACAGGTGCTCTCTCTCAATTGGCATTCATACGAAAAATGGAAGAATCATATGGTATAAAGTTGTACTCTTTCTCTTAGTATTGTGGCTTAATAGTGTTTAAGGGGCTGTTTGGTTTTTATTTTCAAGAACTGTTGTCTGTTTTTAAAATAAAGAAACAACAAAACTTGTTTGGAAGAATGTTTTCGGTCTTAATTTTTAATGACAATAGGCTTAACAAGAAACAATTATCTTGAAAGTTTAAGCTGCTAGGTGAAAGCACATGAATGACTCTATATCATTATTTTAACACAGTCCTTTATACAAGAGCTCTTTGGACTCAAAACGTTGATGAATGAAAACATACTTACCTTGCGCCAAAATTCAACTTTTTATTAGAAGAATGGGTATGTAACTCAATACCACTTGCTCATAAACACTCAAATACCATGTTAGGAGCCAACTTTTTCAAAAGCTTAAGCTTTTAGTTGAAGGCATGTGAATGATTTTCTATCGTACTCACTGAGTCTTTTCCATTTAGAAGATTGTGTGGACTTGAGAGTGATGGTTACCTTCTGTTGCCCAGAGGTCAGTATTGTTTTTGTTTTATTTAGATTACAAGTGTGGCTGCTTTTATAAAGTATCACAAAATATGTTTATCTTATTTTATTTTATACATAATATGTTACTTCCATCTTTTTAATGCGAGACGCATGTGCCTGCTTCCATGACTTTTAATGTTATTTATCACATGCGGGATATATGTAATTCTATATGCTTCACCATGTGTGTTGTTGTGCCTTAACAAAAAAATATGCTACCATACTGATATTTTTTCTTTAATTCATGAATGAATTTCAAACTTTTTATTGCTGTGCCTTCTGGGTAAAGTGTTTGTTTTAATTTTTTGATAAAAAATAATATCTTTGTTAATGTTGTGCCTCTATTGACCATGTTAATGCTCCTCTGTGTAAGTTTAAATAATACTGTTACATTATCTTGTGCAGAATAATATCATTACTTGAAAGTTGTAAGTAGAGTTAAGATTTTCATATATCAACTTTGGATCTGCCTTGAACTTATGTCTACTTATATTCATTTTGAGTGACTGAATAGAAGCTTGAATGGTGCAATGTATAATTAATTTATATGAAATCAATTACTTTTATTTAAATAAAAAAGTATAAATGCCTTTCTAAAATGAAATTTTATTTAAATCTTTGTTTGATTTGTGCTGCACATTATTAGAGATCCTCTGCGGCTCTAGTCTTATGTTCTTATCTCTGTTAAACTGGACAATAGGATTAAGTGGTATCACTCTTTCAGAAAATTTAAGAACCAAAACTTTTTATTGAGGTTCATATCTCACTCATAGAGAGAGATTGAATGTAGACTAGAAAAAAAACAATTGGCATCCTGTTTATCTTTTTATAGAGAATCCAAGATGGAGCATTGTTGTGGTGCTACAAGTATCATGTTCTGTATTTAAATGTAGCCTAGAAATTTTGTTGAATTCTTTTCTATGCTAACACCTCTGGTTCAGAAAAATAATTTTAGAAAAATAATTTTATATATGCAGGTTGTAATCTAGACTTATACAAGGGAACTCATGGAAAATTGTGAAAATCTCGCTAAAAGTGTTATTGAGACACAATCTCCAGGATCATCTACTGTTTTGGTTGCACGTTTTGATGGTCAGGTAAATGATTAACTATTATTTGAATTCACTATACATGACATGCAGTATGCCTATGTTGGAGTATAGGACTAACTATTGTTCAAATTTTTTCATATATTCAAGACGGATCACTCACAGATAACAACTATTGAAGACATTGACATGAGTGAGAGTTTAATATATTGTGATAAGGTTGTTGATTTGGAGAAAGACAATGATGATTTTGGAGAATATAATCAGTGTGAAACTATAGAAGACGAAGATGGTGATTGTAGGGAAGATAACGTGCATGAAATTGTGGGAGCTGATGATATGAGCTTCACGGATACCCCCATTCTGGGTAGAGTCTTTAAGACAATAGAAGAAGCTTATGAATTTTATAATGATTATGCAGAAAGTAAAGGATTTGGAATACGTAAGCACTGGTGTAATAGGAGTACAAAAACACAACAGCCATTTAGGTGGAATTATGTAAGTGCAAAGCAAGGTGTGAAACGACTTCATGATAAAAGAGTTGATGTTGACAGTGTCAAAAGGCGAAGGGAAACAAGGACTGATTGTTCAGCGATGTTACAAATAAAGTTGGTTGATGGATCATGGGTTGTGGAAAAATTCAATGATACACACAACCATCCATTGATTAACACTCCTACAAAGGTGAAGAAGTTTTTTTCTCATAATGATTTACGACGCTCAGGCATTACTAAGTCGTTGGTTTCTAAGCTTTATCAGGAGGGTTTAACATCTTCAAAAATCTCAAAGGTGGTTAACGCTATGAACGAAGATGTTAATATTACTCCAATTCAAATTAGCACTATTATATCAAGCCAGAGACATAGTAATGTAGGCCGAGAATGCCAGGGCATTGTCAAACACTTTCAAAGGAAGTCTGTTGTTGATAGAGATTTTTATTTTGATATGCATCTAGTGGATGATGGTACATTAAGAAGTGTCTTCTGGGCGGATGGTAGGTCAAGAGCTGCATATGCCCAATTTGGTGAAGTCCTTGTGTTTGATGTGACATACAGAACAAACAAGTTCAAGTTTCCTTTTGCCCCTTTCGTGGATGTTAATCACCATGGGCAATCAATTTTATTTGCTGCTGCCTTGTTAGAAGATGAAACAGAAGCAACCTTTACTTGGTTGTTTGAACAATTTCGAACATGTATGTTTGATAGGTCTCCGGTTGCTATTATAACTGATCAAGACAAAGCTATGGGAAAATCAATTGCTAAGATATTTTCAGGAGCTCGACATCGTTTTTGTGCATGGCACCTGAAAAAACATGTTATGAAGCATAGTCAAGCACTTCGCGCACAATTTAAAGATAGTTTTGATGTTGACTTCCGTGAGTGGTATAAAAGTCAAAACATCGATGAGTTTGAAGGCAAGTGGGAAGCATTAAAGAATAAATATGATATTAGAGCAGGTAGTTGGTTGGCTAACATGTATACTTCACGTCATCATTGGGCAAAGGCATACTTGAAAGATACATTTTTTGCCGGAATGACCACAAGTGGTCGAAGTGAGAGCATGAATTCTTTTTTTGATGGATATGTCAACTCTAACACAATGTTAAATGACTTTGTCATCCAATACGACAAAGCAATCAAGTCTAGGAGGGATGCAGAAGAAGATGAAGATTTCAAAACAATAAATACGAAGGCAATTTTGGAGACTGCTCACCCAATCGAAGCAACAGCCGGAGAGCGCTACACAAGAAAAATGTTTGAGATCTTCAAAAAGGAGTGGAAGGTTGCCATTGGTGATTATTTTCATGAAAAGATTTCAACAGACAATAAATGTACCAAGTACCGGGTGGGATCTCGTGAAGTTGATAAAAAGTGGTGGGCAATTGTCGACTACCATTTGGAAGAAACATTCACAGCTCATTGTTCTTGTGCAAAATTTGAAACTATGGGGATTTTGTGTAGACATACTCTATACATCATGAAGAAGAAACAAATAATGACCCTTCCTGAAAAATATATTTTGTCTAGGTGGACAATGGATGCAAGTTATAGGGTTGGAGAATTTGCAGGCATTCATGTTGAAACAACTACTAATGAAGTTAGTGCATTGTCTTTGTGGTTGGTTCAATCTAAATTCACTATGGCTGTTTCTGAAGCAAGAGATTCTATTTCTGAGGTTAGAAGGCTTGATGCTATGATTTCTGAATTTCTACAACTACAATTGGAAAGAAAGAAAAAGGCATCTGAAGATGAAATGGTTCCCACAATTTATCCTTCACTAGTTCCCGATAATGTTACACAAGTTTCACACATTAATGATGTGCGTGATCCTACTCAACTAGTCAAAACTAAGGGGCGTCCAAGGGTTGCTTCACGTATAAAATCTAGCATGGAAATGTCCACAAAACAACAAAGGACTTGCAGTTATTGTCAAGGAAAAGGTCATTATAAGACTGGTTGTCAGAAGCTAAAGGTATGTGTGAAGTTGATATATGTGTTTTCCTCTCTAAACTTGATGAAAATTTTATTATGCTTCACTTGTAGATGGATGCTGCAAGAGAGAAGCAACAGGAATACTAGCTGTGGGATTGTCAATTTGTACAGATCCTTTAATACTGCCATTATTAGTACCAAGAATCTCCCGGGCTGCTTTCTCCAGAATTGCGATCACACTGTTCTTTGTTTTCATTATCTCCAGATGATCATCAAGGCTGTCCTTTGTTCTTGGTTTGACTGCTTTGCTGTAAAACAAACCATTGATTCCCTACTGTAATAATACCCAAGGTTAACACTCACACTTTGGAAAATGAATGGTCAGGTACAGATCTTTTATTACACCACATTTTGTAAATTTTTCATTGCATGAAAATCACTGTAAAATAAAAACAGGAAAAACACTAGCTCATTTCTTTCACCATTTTGTAAATTCTTTTTTTGTTATAGTAATGATTTAATGACTAACAGCTGTTGTTGGACAACATAATTGTCTTGCAGTCATTTTAAGTTGTCTAATTTCATCCTTCGTTTCAGAGACTTCTACTGCAGAAGTATTTTTTTTCATGGTTGACTTTCAGAGTGTACTTTCTTTTGGTCATTCATCTCCCATCTAAAATGCAGAACCATTCATTACAGTCAAGATTTGGATAAATGTTGCACGAGTAAGTTTGCTGGAATATTATAAAGAATAAATTTCAAAAAGATTTTCTGGTCTTAATTTCAAAATGCAGAACCATGGTTGCTGGAATATTATAAGTTCTGCTTTTTTTTCTTTGTGCTTAAATTTAATACCATTATGCGTTGCTTTATTTTGAAGGTTACTATATCCCCAGAAGTGACTTCGAGAACAGTAAACAGGTTCATTATAGCTGAACTTGTGAGAGGCTGTATAAAGAGTCTGACTTGGGGATGAGACTTCCAGCATATGATGGCAGAAAAAGTCTTTACACTGGGTAATGAAATATTTTATTCCTTTAGTGGGTCATCTCTGTCTCTTCCATTTTGATCTCATATATGTAAACTAGTGGTTATTTCATGCAGGGCAGAGGCAAAGTATAAGAAAAAGTAGAGGAGAGACCAAAGCTGAACCATCCTCGGAGCTTATTGGTAATAATAATAGCAGTATTAAGGGACCAGTACAAATTGACAATTCAGAGGATGATGGAGATGAACCACTTGTGCTTTTATTTGTAATTTTATCGTATCTTGGTATTGTTTCACTGGTAGAGATAACATAATTTCATCATGACCATTGTGCTTGCTCTTCGGCCTCATTTGAGATTGTAACTTAACAAGTATTATCACTGGTAGAGATAACTTTATTTTGAAGTTATTTTTTCGTTGGAATTTATTTTTGCAAATCACATTTTGCATTTGAATATGATGTTGTATCTTGGTATCAATGTTACAAATGATTAAAGGGGTAGGTGAGTTTTCAGTGACTGGACATATGAAACATAAGCAGCTCCTAACATGCAACACCCATCGAGTGCTTGCCTAACAAATTTCTTCCTTTCACGGCACAGTTGGAGTGCCTTATCATCAAGAAACATAATTAACACCCACTCCAGATCTTGAATTATATCATTCAAAGCAAAAAAGACCCCTTCACTATTTTAGTTCAAAATTTCTTCAAGAAAGATTGCAAAAATCCAAAAACAGGACCACACCGGGCCCTGGAAAACTGTTGCAGCAGAGTGACATTGCACAAAGTAATAGCAATAGCAAGTAACAACAAATAAAGAGGATAAAAAGAAAAACAACATTGCATTTAAATTGGAACATGAAAAGATAACCAGTACAATTCAGGGTTACACCATAGAAGCATAATAAACTTCACTATATCTTAACCATCTGCAGTAAATATTCAACTGCGCGTATCACCTCTAATTATTCCTTCAAAAAGATTATCACTTCAACCTTTTGGCATTAGACAACAGGAAATCACTGACATGCTTAACTTGGTAAACTTCGGAAGGAAATTGAAAACAAACAAAGCTATTGGTTTGGTTTATATAAACCATATGTCTTTTTTCAAAGGAAACCGGAGTAAAATGGAAAAAGGCAAAATCCTGAAAAGGGGCGTTTTGGAATAAAAATACATAACCTCGACAGGATTGAATTTTAGCCCAAAGAGAGGTTGTTCACCTCTCCTGAAGCTCTGTGGTAAAATAATGAATGGCAATTATTTTCTTTAAAAAAATAGAATATTCTTCGGCAACTTTGCAGCCAACCCTCCTTTTCTTTCACTACATTTCCTCCTGACTCTCCCCAAAAAAATTCACCAAAAGAATATGTACCTTTCAAAATTAAATACCTATCTCAACAAGATGTAAAGGGTCAATTTGATTAGACTACAAGCTGGTCCAGTTGCATTTGCTCGAGCCAAGCTCCTAAAACTCTCTTACCTTACCTATTAAAACCCTTTCATCCCATTTCTTGTCTAATCACTCCATTTGGGGGAAGAGCAACCACCGACGGAAAGAAGATAGAAAGGAGAAGAAGACAGGTAGCAAAGGAGAAGAAGCCTTCTGCTGCTCGACGACGACGAGTTTGGGAACGGGACTGCTGTTGAAGACGTTTAATATTAGAAGACAAAGTTTTTTTTAAAAGACCAAAACGACGTAGTTTTACTTAGCTGTAGAGAAGCTTATCTACAGCAGCTGTAGAAATGATTTCCCCATATATATATATATATATATATATATATATATATATATATATATATATATGGGTCAGGATCATTTTACACCAGTGTAAGTTACACTCTCAATCTTCCCTTTTACGATTTTACGATTTTTTTAATCAGAACGATTTCGTCAAAATTCCAAATGGTTTTACGTTTTTACGATTTTTTCCGATTATTTTTATGTTAGGATTTTACGTTTTACGATTTTTTATTTTTCTTCCGATTTCAGGTAAAATCCCAATTTTAACTACCATGGATGTAAGTGAGTCAAATGGCTTATTAAGGATATATGGACTGATTTATGTCAAATAAAATTTGACTTATTATATTTTACAAAATATAACAGATTCAAATCTTAAAAAAAATTATTTAAAAAGTAGATCATAAACTTTTTTTGATAATGTTTGGTCTATAAACTTATATGATATTATTTATTTTAAATAAAATGAAATCTTATTTTATTTTATTTTTTAATTTTTAAAGGCATAATAACATTAAATAAGTTAACAGATCTAAACCAGTCAGACTTTTTTTTAATACAATAGCGACACTGACATTGAAATTTAAATCTATAACCTTATCGAGACTATCTGAATTCCTCACATTAGAACAATCTTAATGGCTTATAAGGTGCACTTTAGAAATATGTATCTGTCATTTATCAATCTTAATGGATTATAAGGTGCACTTTAGAAATATGTATCTGTCAATTATCAAAAAATAATAATATATATTTACACACACGAGGTTTATGCTTCTCCTTTCACAAGAGGGGTATCTTCTTATGTTATTGAGCCATCGATTATTGCGCAACCTTATTTTTATTTTTACTTTTATTTAGCTTTAAATACTCTTTCATGCATATGGTTCCGTTGTTGATGAATCTTGTAGTGCAAATCTGTTGAGATATATAAAATCATTAATGTAGCCTCACCCAACAGCTTAAGCTTTTGGGTTGAATTGGTTCTTTATATGGTATCAGAGCCTCGTGTCCCGGGTTCGAACCTCGCCGCCCCCCACTTTCTTTCTAGTGGAATTTCTTTCTTCGCACAAGTAGGTGAGCCTATGAATTGTCCACCCTTCAAGCTCAGTGGGCTCTCGTGTGAGGGGGCGTGTTGAGATATATAAAACCATTAATGTAACCTCACTCAACAGCTTAAACTTTTGGGTTGAATTGGTTCTTTACAAAATGTGCAATTTGAAAGTCTCTTACATTCATATTTTTTGGAAAGCTAATTGGCATGTCAATTGGTTAGCCAAGCAGAGTTGTATGATGCGGAGAATCTCACTGTGTGGAATGTGCCCCCGTTAATTTTTAGGACTTATAATTTATCATATTGAATAAGAAATTCAAATTTTTCTACAAAGAGAAAAGGGTGAGGCTCACCTTAAAAAAAAAAACTTAAAAATAAAAAAATAATTGGCGCGGACATCGAAATGAGATTGGTAGGAGACTCTGGTGGAGCCAGGTTTATTAATTAGGGGGGCGAAATTTTGTTGTTGTTACCCATTCAACCATACACTCTCCAATCCATTCTCACTCTCTTCTTCTAATTCTGTTTTAATTTTTTCTCATGAATTTAGTACTACACTCTCAGAAGGAATTGTGGTGTAATCATTATTTTATAATTTGATTTTAATATTAAAAATATTTATACTATTAATTGTTTATATATTAACAAATCATCCAATCAATTTAGATGTTAAAATTCATTTATTCAGATAATATGAAATTTATCCTACAAAAAGAAAAGATAATATGAAATTTTTTGCAATGTATCCAACTTATTATTATTTTTAATTTTCATCAGCATTATCCTGATTTATTATTATCCTTTCATTTCCTTAATTGTTTGTTATTAGGTTAATTAGAGCGATCTCAATTCATCTAGAATCTTCATCAAATATTGGGAGCCCCACACCATTGGATCATTTCACAGGGACACGTGCATGACACAGCCTAATACCCACCCAACTTGAATAAAGAAATGTAGCCACAAATTCATAAAATTACAATGTCCCACGTCATCTCACCACTTTATACATGAACACCACTCTCCCTTTACCTCTCACCACTTTATACAGTCTAAGAATTCTCTCCATTATCCTCTACTTTCTCGTGCTAGTTCAGTTCTCTTCTAGTTTAACTCACAAACACAGCTTCTCTTCAAGTCTAAGAATCCAAAAACAGTGACGTTTTGCAGAGAGAAGTCTAGAATGGAGGGGGGCGATGAGTCCTTGCCTACACCCTTGGTCTCCTTAAAAGGCCAGCTCACCTTTAACATTTCATTAAATTTTTTTTTTTCAAAACTTGGAGGGAGGGGGAGGGGGCGGCCGCCCACCCTAACCTCTCCCTGGCTCCGCCTCTGGTAGGAGAGGAGATTTCTCATGCAACATGAGAAGTCTTTTTCCCTAATTTTTATTATAGTTAAAAAATGGGTTTGCTTTTTCTGCAGTTATTGCAGATAAGTTATCTGCAGTAAGCCCAATACGATGTCGTTTTAGGGTGGAAATCATAGTATTTTTGTAATTTTAATTTATTTCAGGATTATTATAGTCTTCATAATTATAATTTTTTGATCTTTCAATCTCAAAATGACGTCATTTTAGGAGTAAATACAGATAATTTATCTGCAGTAACTGTAAAAATATTTTTCTGTTAAAAAATTGGCTTATAAATTTGTTATGTTTATAATATTTTTTAATAAAAGAACTATCTTTTCGTCTTTTATCATTTTTTTAATTTAGCGAGAATAATTAAATTCTCTCTCATCATTAAAATTAATTATTCTTCCGTTTCACTGAAAAAATTAACCTTTCAAAGTTCCACCATTTTCTTTCTTCGTTGAATATGATGACATTAAAATACTTAAATACCTAAACAACTAAATTTTTTCATAAAGAAAGCTTTGTTTTTTTCTTCTAATATTGAAATAGTAAAAAGTGCAAATAGTAAAAAATTTCTGATAAAAATGCAATTAAGTAGAAGTTACCTAAAACCTAAAAATAGTGTATAAAAAAACTATTTTTGAGCATGAAAAACTTAAGTTGGAAATAATTTAGGGTTTGGTTAAAAAGAAACATGAAAGTGAGGTTAAATTAGTCATTTACCTATTAAGTAAGTTGACCAAAGTCAACCTCTCACTTCAATGACAAAAACACTTAGCCCTCCCTCATTTTTCTCTTTTTCTCCTTCATGTAACAGCTCATGGCCGAGGGACTCCATGCTCGAGAGCTCCAAAATTCCATTTCATGATTTACTCATCTAAACACTAAACTTGTGAGATAAATGTTAATCATCTTCCTCCAACTAACATAACCCACGAATCATTTACCCTTGGGAAGCTTTGTGTGGAGAGAAATTCTCTCCCAAAGTGCAACGCCATTCTTCTGGAAGCTTGAGGGAGGAGAGCTTTGCTTCCAACTTGCTTGGGAAGTCTTCCTTTGGTTCTTCTAAGTGATTTTAAGTGTTGGACCAAGTGATATCTTAGTGGAGGATCAACCATTTGGCCAATCAATTGGTGGAAGACTTGATTATTGAATAATCAA